TCCAGAGCTACTGCAACACCTCTGATTCCAAAGAGTCAGGCAACTGTGTCCCTCTTACTAGCAGTGTGCCCTTGCCCCAGTAGCCTCAACTCCCTGTGTCCCAGTCCCCTCCTTTTCTGAATGGGTGTCAGCTTCATCACCAAGGTGGCAATAAGCTTCAAGGAAACCCTTTCTGAAAATGGGACCTGCTTGTTCTTCCATAAGACATCTGCTCATATAGCTATGACACAAGGTGAAGAGTGGCAAATGCTATAGCAGAGTATCCAGTGAGGTCACCAGAGGCTCCATAGCCTAATGGTTCAAAGCATGATGGTTAAAGGCATGGAAGCTTGCATAACACTTGGCTTCAAATTCAGGCTGTGGGAGTTGAATAGACATTTCCCCAAAGAAGGTATGCAAATGGACAATAAGCACATGAAACATGCTCAATGGCAATTGTCCCCAGGAGAATGCAAGACAAAACTCTAATCAAATGCCACCTAAGGTCCATAGGATAGCTAAAGCGGAAAAGAAAGAAAGGGATGTTGGCAAGAATACCTGGCAGAGAACCGGAAACCTTCCTACTTTGCATGAGAAGCTGTAAGCTGGTAAGGCCACTTTGGAAAAACAGTTGGATAGGTCCTAAAAAGTTAGCCATGGACTTACCAACAATTTCCCTCGTGTGTTTAATACAAAGAAAATAATTGAAAAATACCCCCCAACAAAAACAGATACATAAATGGTTGTAGCCACATTATTTACACTAGCCCAAAAATAGAAACAACCTAAATAACTATCAATTGATGTGGTATGTCCATACAATGAAACATTATTCAGCATAAAAAGGGACTCGAGGTTGAGATACAGCTGAAACATGCAGTAACCATGAAAATGAGATGTCGAAGTCCACATGTTATATGCCCCTATTTATATGAAATATAATTTGCCCCTACAATAGGCACTTCTATGGAGAGAGAACATAGACTAGTGGTTGCCTAAGTCTGGTGGGTTGGGGGGACATAGGGAGCATTGCTTAGGGATACAGGGCTTCTTTGGAGGATGATGAAAATGTTATGAAGTTAGCTAGTAGTGATGGTTCTTTAACTATGAATGTATTAAAGCCACTGAGTTGTATACTTTTAAAAAAATATGTTTTATTGATTTTTTACAGAGAGGAAGAGAGAGGGAGAGAGAGTTAGAAACACCGATGAGAGAGAATCATTGATCAGCTGCCTCTTGCACACCCCCCACGGGGGATGTGCCTGCAACCAAGGTACATGCCCTTATCGGAATCAAACCTGGGAACTTTCAGTCTGCAGGCCGACGCTCTATCTACTGAGCCAAACCGGTTTCCACTGAATTGTATACTTTAAAAAGGAGAATTGAATTGGGATGGGAGGTATATGTCAACAAAGCAGTTATTTTTAAAAAATCAGGCTATGCTGTTGATGTTGAGTGTTGGTGTTATCCCCTGTAATCAAGGGCTCATTACAGAGTCTAGCTCAAAGAGCTGCATAAGGATTAAATAGCAGGTTGTAGGTGAAACTCTTGGCCCAGTGACCGGTTTAGGTTTAGTCCATGCTTGATAACAGATAGCGATGATGTTAATGTTTTTCCTTAAACATGTGGCCTTTCTCTTGTTTATCCTAAAGCATAGGGTCAGTTGTGCTTTCAGTGAAATAAGTTGGGGATGTATGATGACTTGGGATGTATGAAAACTGACCCTCTCTCTAATATCCTTAAATAGGCTGTGCCTCTGAAGGTACAGCCTTATGGCTCTGATAGCTGTTATTTATTTCTTAACTAATATAACTGAGACCTTGCTCAAGATGTGATCATGAAAAATTACCTTTTTAATGGTGGAGCATTTAATGAGAAACTGGATTATCTAGTGCATAAGTGCCCTTCATACAAATGAGCTTGGCCCTGGGTCCTAATCTAAATTGGGTTTCCCCACTTTCCTCTAAATGGCCTAATATTTTCTTATTAATCTCTGCCCTTATTCACCTGATCTGGCTCTGCCTCCTCTTATGAAGCCTCCTCCTTGGCAGAGATCTGGCCTTGACAAATGTTTCCTGAGTCTGCCTTTGTGTCTGATTCATGGGCAGTTTTTAGACATGACATGCAGGCTGGAAACTGTTCCATTTTTAGGCTGTTTTTCCAATGGAGTTTTTTTTTTTGTTGTTGTTGTTAATCCTCATGTGAGGATAATTTTCCATTGATTTTTAGAGAGAGTGAAAGGGCAGTAGGGAGGGAGGGGGAGAAAGAGAGACATTGATGTGAGACATACACATTGATTGGTTGCCCCCCAATCGAACTTGCAACCCAGGTACGTGCCCTTGATTGGGAATCGAATCTCTGACCCTTGGGTGCTCTACCCACTTAGCAACACTGACAAGGGCTTTCAAATGGAGTTTTAATGCTGCCAGTGTACTGAGTATCAACAGTTTTGGGCCAGGTAAAAGATGGAGCTTTATAGGAGGTTGGGGAGATGAGAAAAAAATTCATTATAGTGGCTATGAGAAAGGGCTTAAAAACAATGAACATAAGCAAAACCACCAGTGCGGGCTCCAACATAAAAAAGATCTAGGTTCAGGTCCCACTTAGTGAATTTGCACAAGTTGCTTAATCTGTAATACCTGAATAATAGCACCCACCTTTAATATTTTTTTCTGGGACTAAACAAGTTGATGCACATATATTATCATTATATTCCACATATAATTGAGATCATGTGATACTTGTCTTTCTCTGACTGGCTTATTTCACTTAGCATGATACTCTCCAGGTCCATTGATGCTGTCTTAAAAGGTAAGAGACAGGGGGAGGTGACCTGTATCACCATGGGCCCTATTGTTTAGCTAGATGTCCATAGAGGGTATATCATAGCAAATGTTCTTCTCTTTGTTCGTAGCTTCATTCTCTGACCCCTGTCCTCACTGAAATCCTGGAGACTTAATTTTTACATTGATTACAATTCCTCACTAATCATTCATGTGTTATATTTGCTTTATGGACTATTATTCAAAGGCTCGAATATCCTAGAAGTCAGCAAAGATTCAGTGGGAAAAACACCAACGGGAGGTTGGGGACCATAGATCAACCTGGCTCTGCAGACCTTCCTCCTTTGTGCTCTCCGGTCCTCACAGGGAATCTTCTACATGCTTCTTTTACTGGGCTACCAAACTGGTGGCAGCTACCTGTGATAGAAAACTTAACACCTGAATACATGCTTTGCACATACTATCTGATTTAAGTTACTATTCATAACAACTCTGGAAATAGAAATTTAACCTTCATGCAATGGACAAGGAAATTGAGGCTCAGTAGGTAAGTTAGTTGGTTTGCAAGGGAGAGAGTCATAGTTTAAATGAGGATGTCTAACTCTAAATATGTATCTCCTACATTCCCCGCACAAGGCATTTTTACTTGCAGTCACCAGAAACTTGAACTTCTGTGGGCATAGATTTTGCCTCATTTACCTGTTATCAGTGAGTAACAACTTCTGGCACAGAGATGCTCAGTAAGAGATGAATGAATGAAATGCAAGTCATAGTTTGTCTATTGAAAAGTATTGTACAATGGTTAGCTGTTGTTGTTGTGTGTGGGTTTTCCCCTATTTTAAGCATTTTCTCAAATAATTCTCAATCCAGCCTTATGGAAAGGCCTTAGTTTTGCACACTGAAAGGATACCTAGAGCGAAATGGGATAAGTTATCATTAATGCCTTCAGCTCTAAGTGTCTGACTGTTGAGGGAAGGCACAAGAGAGGGTGTATGAGAAGTTGAAGTTGATGATGTTTCAAAAGATGAAGAGCAAAAGGCATGGCATTCCAGGTTTTTAGAACCACATATGCAATGCCCCAAACTGTGATTAGTTTGATGAGGTTAGACATTTGAATTCCAGCCCTAACCAGTTTGGCTCAGTGGATAGAGCATCATCCTCAGACTCAAGGGCCCCAGGGTTAGATTCTGGTCAAGGGCATGTACCTTGGTTGCAGGCACATCCTCAGTAGGGGTGTGCAGGAGGCATCTGACCAATGTTTCTCTCTCATTGATGTTTCTAACTCTCTCTTCCTCTCCCTTCTTCCCTGTAAAAAAATCAATAAAATATATATTTTTTTTAAAAAAGAAAATTGAAATCCTATGTAGTCATATTTTTTTCTGACTGTGTAAACTTGGATAGGCTACCTGGATTCTCTGACCTTCATCTTGATCATCTGGGAAATGGATATGGTTGGCTTATTGTGAAGAATGGGGATACAGTTTATAAAACATTTTATATGCATAAGTACTCAGTTCACAGTTACTTTACTGCTCATATTTTATGTGGATATGTTTGAACTTCTGGCTGGTGTGTCTTAGCAAAATATTATGTTAATAACAGTATGCTATTGGGAAAGCCTGTTGCAAGCCTTTAGACTTCCACACAGCTTCCATATCAAGTAGTATGGAAGTCTATTTCAGTACACACATGGGTTGGCAGAAGAGAGATTGTAAAACCATTTTTTATTATAATTGTCGTGGGTCATTACTTGATACAAAGCAATTACTCTGGAGTCTCACTATGAAACAGCCCATGGAATTGAGTATAAGGAGGATCTTGGATTCTGGCCAAAGTCATATTAAATGCTAGAAATGCTGAAGGAGCTCAGTGCAAAGAATGTCAGTGGGTGATTATCTTTTATTGGAAACCTAGTGTATAGGAAACACTGCCCTGGGTACTTGACACATGTTGCCTGATTTGTTTACCTTGCTGCCCTTTTGGGGTTGGTTATTCTTCTCTCTTTTTTTTCTTCCTGAGAAAACAAAGGCTGAGAGAGGAGAAGCAGTTTGCCCCAGGGTTTGAAAGGGGAGCCAAAATTTGCTTCCAGGAATACTGCCTTGTTTTTCTACTTGGTCTTGTGGTTTGACTTTCCTAGAACACAATGAAGCCAGAGAGCAAACCTCAGTGCCCTGGGTATTCAAAGCCATCAGGTCCTGAACACCTCCATCTCTGAATCGTGCTTTCCTCTGTTTTTAGGTCAGGATCGCAGCGAAGCCACTCTGATAAAGAGGTTTAAAGGTGAAGGGGTCCGGTACAAGGCCAAACTGATCGGGATCGAAGAGGTTTCTGCGGCTCGGGGAGACAAGTTATGTCAAGATTCCATGATGAAGCTCAAGGTGCAGTACATACATTTTACTTTAAGTATTATGGGTTTAATATGGCTGAGAGAAAGAAATGATTGCACAGTCATTATGGTAAAAATGTTGTTTACTCATTTATTAGTAAATTATTTACTCATTTGTTTAGGCACTGATGAATCACTGCCTTTACTCATTTTGAAGGGATTTCACTCATTCAGCAAATGTTCACTGAGCACCTCCTATGTGGAAGCATTTTATTTGGCCCTGTTTAATAATTTTATTTTCACATTTCATTCGATTATATCTTATTCACACAATGCCTGCGAAAAATAAAAGTAAACTCGTCAAATTATAGTGTCTCAGATTTTATAAATTTTCACCACTTTTTAATGAAATTTATAGATTATACTGTATGATAAATGTGGTAAAAGATGCTATCATGATAATAAAGGCATACTATGCTAATTAGACCAGATGTCCTTGTGGACGACCTTCCATAGGAAACGGGAGCTGTGAAGCTGGTGCCAGCTGCCGGGGAAGGAAGGCCTACTCTTGCATGAATTTTGTGCATCAAGCTTCTAGTGTTAAGATAAAAGCTACTTTTATTCATTTTTGTAACTAATATTAATGTCCTCAAATACTTTATAAGAAGGGGAAATATTTTCTAAGTAATATGTAACCAGATATTAGAACATGGAGAGATCATAAAGAGGTTTCTTATTTTAAATGCTTAAAGAAACCTTTTCATTGAAATGCTAAGAAACTGGGGAAAAATTTAATATGCAAAATTTAAAAATTTTTGATATTTAAAGGTCTCTTAACATACAAACAGGAAATGTTTTGTTCCTAGATTATTGTGTCCAAGTTTTTTTTTTAATAATATCAAATAGTTTTAAAAATAAAATAGTTTGGCTCAGTGGATAGAGTGTTAGCCTAAGGACCAAAAGGTCCTGGGTTCAATTCAGGTCAAAGGCACATTCCTGGGCTGTGAGCTCCTCCCCAGACTAGCCCTGGTCTGGGATTTTGCAGATGTGTTCCCCTCACATCTCTGTCTTTCTCTCTCTCTTCCACTCTCTCTAAATATCAATAGAAAAATATCCTCCCGTGAGGATTTAAAAAATAATAATAATAAAATACGTAAAAATAAAATGATTTAGCAACAATTCTGTAAAATATCTTACACATTTAAAACATATTTTTACTGATTATAGAATTCACAAAAATGTTCATTATAAAATGTTTTCAAAATACAGAAAAGTATAAGGAGGAAAATTGAAATGATCCTCAATCCCACCACACAAAGAAAATTAGTGTCAACATTTTAAAAGTGTGTGATTTATAATTTCTTTGTATTTTATATACATTGTATGAAATATACATATATGTTTAATATAATTGGAATAACTATACAATTTTATATTCTGCTTTTTTCTCATCTGACAATAATATGTTATGAGTACTTTTAAAATTGTCTTCAAATTGTCACTGAGGATACAGCTTGGTCAGTATAATTTTTTTTTTTTTAATATAAGAAAAAAATTAAAAAAAAAAAAGCTGGCCAGGGCCTAAAAGTATTATACAGGACAGTATTTGCAAAACACGTTTCTTTAATATTTGCTTAATAGATCACAGCTGTTATTTGTTTATACTATGAGATTTTCTCAGCAGTTGGACATGTATATTCGATGCTATGTCTTCCTAAAGTTTGAATGTAGGAATCATCATTTTAAAAACCTTTTAATCTTCTAAACTATGTATCCATTATTTTCTTTTTCTTTTTCTTTTTTTGCTGCTGCCATAAGCAAACTTTAGTTGAACAGTTATGTGGCTATTGATTGTAAGGTGTACTAGAAAAAAGACATAAAAGACACCCAAATTGTGATTTCACAGGTTATCACCTTGGAAGAGGTTAATGTATCTTTTTTGATAATTAAACAATATTCTGAGCTTTGAGGAAGTGCAACAATGAGCCATCTTTTTTTGCCAAGTTCAAATCTGATTGACAAATAAAATAGACAAAGGAATCTGGAAGGAAGAATTCTAAATTCCAGCTTTCTAACTGATAAGTGCTGCTCTGGAAAACATGATGTACATACATGGGCATAGTGGATATCCTTGGAAGAGACAGGTTATCCCACTTCAGTTATAGGGAATTGGATAACCGCAACCCTTCCTATTCTCCTCATCCCCGTTGCTACTCCAGAGCAGGACCTTAACTCACTCATGAGATCAGACAGGAATGCAACCTCACTGCCAGCAGGCAACTTACAGAGAGAACCCAGAAGAGACTGAGCCATGTGTGCTGGGCTTCTCTCCAAACTCCTCAATCAGGTAGAGCCACACCTGCTTCCCACAAAGAACTTAATGCAAGGTGGGGAGAAAGGCCAGGATCTTGATTCTTGCCAAAGTCCCTCCTTACTGAGTTTGAGGCCAGGCAGATAGAGATTTGCTCCTGACAAATGTTGATTAAAATACATCAAGATCACCCATGATCTGGTTCCTACCCAGAGTCACAATCTGCTGATGAGAAAGGATCTGATGCATCCCTTCCCCTTTCCCCCATCGCTAGCATCCTGGTAGATAGCTACTCAGCAGGCATCTATCACAGGGTGCCCCACTGGCCCAGTGGCCTTTATGGAAGAACCAAGGCCAATGTGGACATGAGGCAGGAGTCTGCTTATGCTCCCTGAAGGATCACATAATGTGGGCCACATTAACTGGATCAAACCTGATGATGACTGCTGACCTTATACTTGTGTGTGTGTGTGTGTGTGTGTGTGTGTGTGTGTGTGTGTGTGTTATCTGCAATGAAGTGTCCCACCTGTGGTTTTTTTTTATTTCTTTTTAAGTGTCCCATCTGTAAACCTTCAGAGCGGAGGGGCTCCCAGAGCCCTGGAAGTATGTCATGAATCAAAACCCCTCAAATTCAGCAGATCTGAAAGGATCTTTCAGATCTGCTGAATTTGAGGGGTTTTGATTCATGACAATTGTGTTTCATTATTTGCAAGTTGCCAAGAAGAATGTTGACATTTCAGTCCCAGTGGTCTTTCTTTGGGAAGCACAGGAACATAAGCGATCGAGTCCCCTCTGGCCACCTGCCCAGGAAAGAGGGAGACAAAAAAGTACAGAATGCCTCTTAGCATTGCCAAATGGCCCACTTGTTCACGGCAGACCATATGAGCAATGAAAATAATTCTGTCTTTCTTTGCTAGGCTCTCTGAAGCTGGTGACTTTCCTTGTTGTAGAGTTTGCTCTTGGATTGAAAAATTTGATATGGGGTTCACACTGTGAGTCTGAGTGAGCCATTGCCAGTCTACCAACAAATCACTGTCATCACCATATTTTAATTTTAGGGTCAGCAAAGTACTTCAGTATACATTATCTCTTGATCATGTGAGATAGTAGCCTCCCAGTCTTGTAAATAAGAAATCTGAGGTTCATGGTCATTAAAGGATTTGATCCAGATTCTTTGTTTAACCTTCATTTAGCCCAGAATTCAAATGCAGATCTTCAGAAAACATGTTTGACAAGACATAGTTTAAGGCTAAATAATATTCTCACAATGTATATATATATATATTAATTTCAGAGAGGAATATAGAGGGAGTAAGAGATATAAACATCAGTAATGAGAGAGCATCACTGATCAGTCACCTCCTGCACTCCTACCAGGGATTGAGCTTGCAACCCGAGCATGTGACTTTGACTGGAATTGAACCTGGGACCCTTCAGTACTCAGACTGACACTTTATACACTGAGTTAGGGCAATATTATTCTCTTTTGATCTGCATTTAATCTATCTTGGTTCCCCTCCTAGATTTTAAGCCCAGCACATGGGATTGCTTGCTAATATCAATATTAGTACTAATAATACTGGTAACTTAGTTGCTGAGTTCTCCCTACACACCTTGCAAATGTAGATGTGCATGCTCACTTAAAAGCTCCAGTATCCTGCCAAAATTGGTTTGGCTCAGTGGATAGAGCATCAGCCTGCAGACTAAAGGGTCCTGGGTTCGATTCTGGTCAAGGGCATGTACCTTGGTTGCGGGCACATCCCCAGTAAGGGATATGCAAGAGGCACCTGATCGATGTTCCTCTCTCATCGATGTTTCTAACTCTTTATCCCTCTCTCTTCCTCTAAATAAAAAAAAATCAATAAAATATATTTTTAAAAAAGAAAAAAGAAAAAAAAAAGCTCCAGCATCCTTATGAGGTGAGAGGTGTGATTAGTCTCATGTCAGAGTTCTCTTTCACAACTAAGTCCAGAAGCAGGTGACCCCGCCTATCTATTTTCAGAACATCTTTGACATGCCTGTAGTATATTGTGTAGTCCATTTATTTCACCTGTGCTTCTCCTCACGTCCCTTACAGAGTGCTATTACAGTACTGGAATCTGAAAAATTACTGTATTCTCTAGGTCTTGTATGTTCCTTGAGGTTTGGGGTGGTCACTTGACCCTTGACCTATGTTTCCTCAGATGTGAAATAAGGGAGGTCATTCTTACAGCCCATGATTGCCATATGGGCTATATTATATATCACATCAGAGAAGTTCTACATAGTGGGTACCCAGGAAAATGTTCGACTCACTAATTTCCAGGTTTCTAACTGTGACTTCCTAGGTCAGGAGGCTAATCCTAGGCACAGAGCCCCAAAAGGCACCTGCTTCCACATCTTTGGCCTCTCCAGCTGGCTGCCTGGGCGTCTGTGAGTTCCACGGAGCAGCAGTGAATCATCCTGGGGAGATGAGACTCAGAGGCAGCACATGCTGTATGGTGGCAGGCGTGCTGCGACTTGGAGCAATTTTTCAGAGTTTGACTCAGGGTCTTGTCTCTTAGGAAAAACGTGTTCAATAAATTTGGAGTTTTATTTCCCCAAAGACAGCATCACGTGGATAGCCCTTCTTGTTTCCATTTGTCATGTAAAGTGCCCGCCAGTGGCCCAAGACAGAAATGCTCCTGGAACATATATGCCTGCTCCACCCACCTTCTTTATGTTCCCCCCTATTCCACCAGGGCGTCAGTGGAACCAGGACACAAGGGGGAGCAGTGCCTAGCCAGCACCACTGTGTGCTGGGCATTATTGCTGTTGGATGTGGCAGTAATTCTAAGTGAGGGGCTGTGAGGACTGTTTTGGAGAGACACATTGAAGCTAATATTCCTGACCCAAGGTGTAGCCTTCTCTGCCCTCTGTCCCTCGATGTCCTCACCAAGGAAGGGGTTAAACAAGAAGACGGGGCACCCCTCCCTTTGACACTGTCCTTCCAGTCCTTTCATTTGTGATGGGACTACTTCATGTTCTCACTCTGGGTAAGTCTGGCTACTTGAGGTTGAAGGTTAGGCAGAAGAGGGCTGGCAGCATAAGTTATTTTACTCCAAATCCAGCCAAGAACACAGTTTTCAAAGTCAGATTTTCCTGGGTTCAAAGCCTGGCTTGTTCATTGCTAGAGCGAGGGGCGGTCGCTTCAACCTTTTGAGTGTCCGCTTTATTTCAGGCTCTGTTCTTGACACTGGGCATATAGAATGAACAAAACCAAGTTTCACGAACAGTTGAGCTTTTGTTCTGTTGGGTAAAGACAGTCAGTCAGCAGATGAATACGTATCTCAGATGGTGGTAAGTGCCATGAAGAAGAGACGTTGGGGGAAAGAATGAGACAGAGTTTGGCAAGGAGGATGGAGGGTTCAGAAACCATATCTCTGATGGAGAGGCATCAAACAGAAATAGGATTCCCTTGGGATTGCAGATACAGACTTTGACCATTCCCCCCAGGTCCTTAAAATCACTCCTCAGTAAATCATTGGGAAAGCAAGCAGTGTGATGAGGACTTCAGGGACCTTTGAATAGGACATGGGTGTTAAAGAGACAGAGGACTTAGTTTTGAGGATGAGTCCCTCTCTTCACCTATTTCCTGGGCAGTCATTGGAGGTAGAATCTTATGTCAGCATGTAGCAGTCCCAGATGGTGAAGGAGGAACCCTGAGTAGGGTCATAGGAATGTGTCAGCTTGCTAGAAAAAATGACAACATATAGAAATATGTCTTTTCTCTGCACAAGAGACTTGAGAGCTCAGTTGTATAGTATCAACTTTTTTGTTCCCCTAACTCTGCCATCTCAGAAGTTTCTAGGCATCATTTTCTCATCTGTCAATCTGTCAGTTGGGAAATTGGGACTGATTAGTTTTAAGGTTTTTCTTTGGCTCTAATATCTTGCACATCTATGAGTACAGAATAAGAGGCACTTAAGAATGAGTGGGCAACTTTCCAGGTAGTGAAATTCCTACTTGTAGGCACCTAAACAGTTACTGGGACATAAATTTTAAGGGACAATCATTCATTTACTAGAAGTTATTTTTTATTACATCCCTGCAATGTATCAGACATGGGGCTAGGAACTTGAAATAAAATGGTATTTCATTATCTCGGCCATGCCAGGAAGGTATTTACACTTGGGGAAGTGGAACTGAGAGGTGAGTAATTTGTCTGAGGTCACAGAGAGCTAGGAGTATACTCCAGATGGTCTGAGTATTTTAAATTTCCAATGTGAGGATGATCAAACAACCCCAAGAGAATGAACACCCCCGCCCTGTGCCTTCTGGTTGTGTTGATTGCTCTCTAACCTCAGTTGTTCTCAGAGACTGATGTTGAGCTTTTGCTCTTCTGAGAACAGCACGGACGACTTTTATCTCTTGGAAATATGAAATCAGTACTATTTTAGACTTCACTATGCCTAAAAGTCCAAACCCACAACGGCTGAGAGTCGAGCTTCATCTCACCCTCTGCAGAGGCTAATGGTGGAAGGGGCTGGAAGCCTCAAAATGCTTAAGGCAGAGTCACCAGCAGCCCTTGAGTGTAAATCCCTAGGTGCATCTTTACCCTCCAAGTTGTAGCCTTTTATGAATCCCATGCTTACCTATACTTGGCCACCACAGAGGCACTTTAAAAAGCAAGTGTCTTACTCTTAACTTATATCTTATCGACTTCAGGAAACTCAGGATAGAACATTTATGGAACAATAATTTACAGAGACCTCCCTGTCCTCTGGGACTGTGCTGGGCACCTGGGAGAGAGCAGAAAACAGAGCAGTGTCCCTACCTTTTATGACATTTACCTTCTAATTGACTCATATACATACCTTTAGTTTATAAAACATTTGAGAAAGTGTGGAAACAGATGTTTTGATAAATGGAATACTTCGGGTAAGTAAGTACTTTATTTGAACACCCAGGAATGACAGGGAAAGGAGTAGGGGAACATACAAAATGGCTGTGGGTAAATGTTTCAAACCATAAGCATCAACTCTGATCATCATATTTTTCCAAGCAAAAATTGAGACATGGGATAATTTGGCAATAATTTTTTTATTTCCCTAATGTTCTCTGAATTGATTCCTATGAAAAGTTTCCCCAGAAGCATAATAAAAATAAAATATTTAAGAATCTACTCCATGACTCACCTTTATTGAATAGATTAAAACCATATGCATTGCAAAACCCAGCAAGCTATTAATAAGAAGACCATACTGTGTGTCTCTAGGCACCTCAGATTCTGAGCCGCGTACCTAGGCACAGAGTAGGTATTCTATAAATCTCGGTTAGCCAAATGAGTCGGTGCTCAGATATCTATTTATACAGTGTTTGAACAGCGAGGAAAAGCATTCTCCGACAAAGTCAAGCAGATGCAAGCTCATCGAGTCAGGAAACCTGGAAGGAGCAGAGAGAAAGGCGCGTGACTGATTGGTGGCCCTGCCTGATGGTATCTGACATGCCTTTGGGACCAGAGGGCATTTTCAAATGAAAACACTAAAGTAAAAACCATGTCTTTCCTCTCAACAGGGCGTTGTGGCTGGCGCTCGTTCCAAAGGAGAACACAAACAGAAAATCTTTTTAACCATCTCCTTTGGAGGAATCAAAATCTTTGATGAGAAGACAGGGGTAAGTAAAAGGAGCACGTGGCATTGTGCAATTGAATCCATTGACAGATGTGCCCTTAAAAGCCTGTCTGCGCTGGGCAGGAATATCAAACAAGCATAAAAACACATAAAGCAGCTGACAAACTTGATCAACTGTGATCGTCCATCAAAGGGGGGCTCTTCCCGGACTTGGCCACAGTGCGGCTGCCCCATGTTTCTTAGCGTGTAATTGTGATAAAAGTGTCACCCGGACCCAGGACTCTAATGGGAGATTGATGAGCTTTGAGGAGCGGTGGGCAATGTGACGGCTTAAGTTGGATTTCTTTGTGTGCTGGCAGTTTTAAGGACACGCGTCCTAGAGGGAGACACATGGTGCTCTTTTGACTCAGTCAAAGCATCCAGACTCTCTTGAGTTTAACCTGTGGAACCTTGTAGTTGCTGGAATCAAAAAGAATAAATGGAGTTTTCCATCTTAAAAAAAAAATAAAATCTATCACTGCATGACCAGGAAGTGGAAGCACTAATATGTTTGTTGAAGGAACCAAAGACATGGTTTTGTGTTCTCATCAGCCTCCCAGAGGCAATTAACTCCCAGGTTCATCCCCAGGGCTTGTCTGACATTCCAGGTCCTGTGTATTGATGGTAAGGGAGAAACAAAAAAATAGTCTATGACCTGTTTTATTGAGAGGGTGAGCGTCAAATGGACATATTTGTCCTTTTACTCATGTATCCGCCTCCACTGAACTTCACAAGGTAATTTATCAAGCACTGTATAAATAATACTCTACTCGCCAAGTTAATTAACCTTTGTCATGTTGCATTATTTTTTTCTCCCCTTTGTTCTGACTCATACTAGGATAAAATGTCAGTAGTAGGGTGATGATTTCACAGTGGAAATGGATCTTCCTGAAGAAAAGTTACTCCTAAATAACCAGTCATGTGACAGATAAGGGCACACCCATGTTCATAGCAGCTCTATTCACAATAGCTAAATGGTAGAAGCACCCTCAGGGGTCCTCCCATGGATGCACAGGCAAGCCAAATGTGTATATATAGATAGTGGAATAATGTTCAGCACTGAAAGGAGACAAGTTCTGTCACATGCTACAACATGGATGGACCTTGAGGACATTTTTCAAAGTGAAATGAGCCAGTCACAAAAAGATAAATTCTGAAGGAGTCCATTTACCTGGGTGTCTAGAGGAATCCAATTCAGAGACAAAAAGTACAATGGTGGTTGCCAGGGCTGGTAGGGGTGAGGGGGGGTGGGCAGTGAAGCGTTAGTGTTGAATGGGGACAGAGTTTAAGTTTGGGTAGAAGACAGCAGAGCTGATGGAAGGCTGCAATGATCACACCACAATGAGAATGTGCTTTATGCCTCTTAAAAATGGTTAAAGTGGTAAATTTTAAATTATGTATATTTATCACAATAAGAATAACTGGTAATAATAATGTCATTTTATTAAGAACATGCTATATACTATGTGCATATTAGTCACTTTACACACATTATTCAGTTTTCTCCTCACAAAGCCCTTTGAGATAATCATAACAATAGTTCCTTCATCAAGCACATAATATGTGCCACACATTGTTGTCAGTCCTTTGTAAGTACCCACCCATTTAATCCTCACGGTGACCATATGAGGTTGGCGTATTGTTACCTCTGTTTTATAGTTAAAGGCATCAAAGAGAGAAAAGTTTATTAATTAGCTGAAAAACAGTGGCTGTGGAGACAGGATTTCAATCCAGTCAGTCAAGCTCAGGAGTCTTTTCACTTAACAGCATTTCAGGTTTCTCTTTCAGAATAAGTGGCTTTCTGAAGTTCACCAGCATGGAGGAGGCAGAACTGGGATTTAGCCTCTAGCTGACATAAGTCAAAACTCAACACAATTGACTTCTAGACAGAGAGAAAGGTGGGGCTATCTACCTGGGGCTGCCTCAGTAAGAGGGAGCCGAGAATGAAGATGTTAGCATCAGTAGTGAAGGAGCTTGAATGCTGCAGAGTAAAAGCCTAATGTAAGCTTCTCCTACCTTCCTGAAAGTATGGTTTTCCTTTTCCTGGGAAGACTATAGATTGGATACCAGTGCTCATTTTTGAACCACACATTTTACAAAGGATAAAGCAAATCAAAGACTATCCTGATAAAGAAGACCAGGGCAGTTGGGGAATGGGAAACTATGCTGAGCCAAGATTTCTTCACACACACATGGCCTCATTGGATCCTGAATTCACACAGGAGACAGAGAGCCTTGGGCTTGGAGAAATGTAGAGGATATGGAGTCCTTATCATATTTTGTGGGAGGGAGGAGGGATAATACAGATCAAGCCTGTGAAGGTTTCACAGTGATTCATACACTGCTATCTTACATCATCATCTTTAGTCTCCCTACCAATCACCATGACAACTGGCCTAACCAAAGGGACAGGAGTGAGGCAGAGTATCAGATGCTTTATCTCATTTGGAGACATATTTTGAGGCCTTGTTATTCTATCATGTATCCCACCACCAAGTAGGCTGTGCTCAGCTAACTAAAGTCCTAATCACTCAGTTCAGCTAATGAAGTAAGGTAGTTTATATTCTTTACATTTATTTAAAACAAACTCAAGGTTATCTACTTTGTCCCCAAAGAAAGATAGCACAAAACCTTATAATACTAGTTTTGATTCACAAGAGTGAAATCATTATTTCAGTCCAAAGCTATTGGAGCCTTATGGAAAAAAATATCAGATCCCTAGTGGAGAATCAGATGGAAGGCAGAGTTCAGTGTTGTCTGTCTGGCTTAGTCCACTCTGGTTCTATTTGAATGTTGGGCCTCTGTAACTCCTGCTTTTGCACCCTCACCTTATTAATGTGCCTGAATATGAATCTGGGGAAGCTGGTTGAGGGGACTGAATGTGTGTAAGCCTGAAGTGGAGACGACAGGGAGCAAGCAGAGTACCCCTTGTTAATTGTATTCATCTCTCTAAAGAGTTGTGTGGTAGAAGGTGGCGAATTGTTCTGTGTGACTCACGAATAGAACCAGATCTGGTGATAGGAGTTTCTAGGAAGCAGTTTTGGTTTATACATAAGAATAATTTTCTACCATTCAGAGCTGTTGAGCAGTTAGGTGTGGTGCCTTCTGTGCAAGTGAGTTCACGGTGGTTGGGAATATTCAAGCAACCACCATAAGAAAGGAAATTGTGGAAGGGAGTTGAGTAGCAATAAAGTGTTGAGCTAAGTCACATCTAAGGTGATGACAATGTTTTTAAGAGTCTTTGTCTCCCTTAAAGTAAACTCCTTTCAGTATGACTTATCTTCAGATAGAGGATTTATAAAACCTTCATTGGAGATTGTAAGCAGGAAAGATTTCTTAAACCTTCGTCATTGCCCAGCAGGGGACCGATTGAATTGTGCAGGGTAAGAGTCCAAGTGAAGTATTCTGTCCTAAATATCAAAGAAAAGGAAAACTGGGTCTTTGTTATTTGGAATTTCCAATTTTAGTTGTTTATCACGTCTGAAGTATTTCTGCTCAAGCTTGACTGCACTTTTTTTTTTAAATCAAGAAAAGAAACATTTGCAGAACGTGACAATAGCTAGAATTTTAAAATCCAAAAGCTGTCAAAAAGTGTTTTGATCCCAATTAAAGAGACCCTTTATAGCAATTTACACCTTGTCTTAAACTTCAAAGGATTCTTGATCCCAATCTTTATATGAGTAAATTTTGTTTTGTTATTAGCATGTTGCAGGGAATAAGTCAGTATTGAAAGCTGTTCCTATTTTCAGATACTGAGGCATTGGTACTATGTCAAAGGAATCAGTAAGAAGGCAGAAGATGTCATATATAAATTCACTGTTTTTAGTGACATTGGAAGCAGTAGCAAATCGGGAAAGGTTTTATATCAGTATGTTACTGGGTCCTCAAATCAGACCAGTGGACACAGAGGCAAAAGGGAGTTCATGTTTATGTTGCAGATAAGAAAATAGGCTCTGCAAGTGTCCCTGACTTGCTTAGTCTCAGAACAGAACTTCCAACCCCAAATCCTGCATTTCCAGGAAAACTCATTGAACTCGCTTATTGTCCCATTTACAGTTTTGTTCCATAGAATTATTATAATTTTATGCCATAAAAATAATCAACATTTCAGGATCCTAAAGAGAAGTCTGTTTCTCAAGATGGAGGACAATGGTCTGCATCATCTTTTAAGGATGATGTAGCATCTTGTTGCCACCATCCCATCCCGTGTACATTTTGCTTGTTCATTTGGTTTAGCCATCACTGATTGGGCACTGTTATGTGCACCATTCTAAGTGCATTGCAACAATTCAGTATAGATGCTGTTATTCTCACCATTTCACAGATGAATAAACTGAAGGCCAGATCATTTAAGTCACACAGCTACTAAGGGCAGAGCAAAAATTCAAACCCAGGTAGTCTGGCCCAGAATCCTTAATGCTAGTAAAATATTGCTAATTATAATGGACTTGCCTTAACAAAATACCATAACTAAGTTGCTTATAAACAACAAGTATTTATTTCTCACAGTTCTGAAGGCTGGGAAGTCCAAGATGAGGGCCCCACCGGATTCATTGTCTTTTGAGAGAGCTTACTTCCTTAGAGGATGCCATTTTGCTATGTGTTCATGTGGTAGGAGGGTCAGGATACTTCTTGGGCCTTTTATCTGAGGACACTAATTACATTCATGAGGGTCCCATCCTCATGACCCTCAAAGGCCCAACCTCTAGTGCCATCATTTTAAGAGATAGAATTTCAACATATGAATGGGAGGGGTGCACAGAAATTTTGAGACCACAGCAACAAATTTTAGAAATGATTTCCTTTTCTATATATTAGAACAGATTCCATGTTAGCCCTGTCTTATTGTCACCATCACTCACTTTCTGATGAGCTTTCCTGAGTGGCGACAAAAGGGTGGAGTTACAACAGTGATTGTCTGGTGGACAGAATGTTGGCAGTGGAACCAATACCTGGTCAGACAGCAGCATGTTGGATGCCTGTTCTGTGCCATGTGATGCTCTG